ACTCAGATGTTGCTCTAAGGAAGTATTTAGTGCATTAGCTCAGGAAACCTCTCTCTTGAGTTGAAGCAAAGGCCCCCTTGCTCATAGATAAAAGAAACACTGGAGTGTTCTAAGTAAACTCATACTGCTTTCAAAACAAAGCTTTATCTTTAGATGCTTAATTATTTTCAACCAAGAATTTTTTGTTAACAAATTAAAAAAACAAACTTTTTTGTTGTTGTAGTGACTTAAATTGACTTTTTTCATAACAAGAGTACCATTGCCTGAAGTGTCCTTATTTGAGCTTTTTGAAAGTAGCACATGAAATGGATGAGGTAACCTTGTATATTGCATAATCATTGTCTGATAAATTATTCTATTATTTTAATAGTTTCCATGCCATTGCAAAACAATTGTTTCTTAAAAAGTGTTTCATGTTATGAAAAGCAGTCACTTTAATGATTTTGAATAACTGAGTCCTGTTCTTATACTATTCATTACAGTAGACCTATTGTAATTTGATTTTATGTAAAATGTTTCCCTTCTGCCCTTTGCAACATGATCACATTACAGTCACAGTTCCAGTAGAGAAACAGCAAGATTCATGGGTAGCTTGTCATCTTGACTATCTTTTGATTACCACATTTGTAAGAGATCATAAGATGGGCTGTACAGCCGTGAAAAGAAAAAAAAACTGAATTTTCATATCTGAAATTAGAGAAAGTGACGAATAACACTTAATTAATGTTTTTCAATAGTACTTAATTATTTTTCTATTTTCATACAAACGCATACAGTATATGCATATAAACATTGAAATAGACAATAAGGCTTTGTTCCCCTTTCAGATAGACTAAGCACTATACTATAAAATTCCCACTTGAATTAATAAAATTAAATCTTGGACTCAATAGCAATAATATCAACATTAATTCACTGACTTTTGAAAATGGGTTTCCTGCTTATGTTTACTGTTAAAACTTTAGCTTAAATGTATAGTATCACAAAAGGCATTTCTTTCAAAACTATCACCCCAAAATTGTTTTAGAACTAGACTGATGTGTGCTGATGCCTATGTAGAGTACAGTGTACTTACAGAACTCTTAGTACCAAGGACAGCTCTTTGCAGAAATGTGCTCCCTAGCCATCAATACTTTACACTTGAACATGTTGAAGCCTCCTAAACAAGTTGTGCAAGCTTTATGTGGATTTTGAAGAGATATTCTGGCTCATATGCTCTCAGAAAGCACTCCCAGCTTGTCTCTTGTCAGAGATACAGGGGTAAGAAAATAAACAGAAAAAGCTAATAGCTTCTGCCAAAAGACTACTTCTGTTATGTACAGTAGTATGTATTAACATGCTATTACTTTGGCAATGAAGTATTTCCGTATTCGTTTACCTTGTCCTGTGTAATGTCCTTCACCGTGCAGTATTTTCTGCAGTACTCTTAATATTCATCAACATACAGGATGGATGTACAATATCGGTGTTTGTTTTCCAAAGGAAAGCTTAAAACATAAAAGCTTTTTGATACTACTGTATCATTCCTGCTGCAATATTAAAGCTATACAGACTTGAAGTTCAGATATTCTGCTGAGTTTTTATAAAGTTCTTCTTTCTTCCAGAAACAAAAATATTTCATTTTTACTTGTTGGTTTTATCTAGGTTTATCCATTAGATTAAACTATAATTTGGTTTGACTAAATATTTTGTCTCTCCAGCCTTCTACAGAATAGAAGTCAGTATTAACTTTTGCTACAGATTTTATGTCCTTCATTTACTATACTACTATATATAATATTAATCTGACATGGAAGAATGCAGATCCCTGTGATGAAACTCCTTGTTAATCCTGTGGAATATTCTTCTGTTACAACACCCGCATTACAAAACCAAATGTATTAGGGACCAGTTTGCTTTACTGCATGCATTGAAATCATGAAGGTCCCAGCCACTATTTGCTTATTTTGTACCAAAAAACAATTAACTTGAATTCCTACTACCCCTTCTTGAAAAAGATGAACTCCTGGTTTAATGTTTGTTGCCACGTGCAGTTTCTTTTGCCATTGTTGATTTAGAGAGCATTTATGCTATAATTACAGCTTTAAGAAAATTGTTGCCTGCAAAAAAATGCATTGAGTGACAAACTAATCCAATCCCATTGATTTGCATGTCTTCAGTTCCTCCTGGAGGGTGTCCATGGCTTTACATGAAAGAAAGAATGAAATTGAGTAGGGAAGACAGAGAAAGGATGTGATTTGCACACTGATTTTTTTTTCTTTTTTAGGCTGGTACATGCATTTGTTCCGTGATAAAAGTAATGTTGTAAGCTGTGACATAAACGTTTCACTATGATTTTAATATACCTTATTTTTCTTCTTATTCAGTATTCAGGAAGTAATACATTCAGCAAACTGTTCTGATCCATCTTTTGAATTAAATGCATTAACCCTAATTCCTCATGGATTTGATGGAGGCTTACAAAACTACCTTAGAAGATGCCTGCAATTTTTACAGAGAGAACTTGCTTTTGCTTTTTTGTACTTGTTACAGGTACATCTATTTACAGTATCCCATATCAAACAAAATAGGTGATCAATATCAAACAATGATAATGTTTAAAAAAGTGTAATGTCTATGTGTCCTTCTTTTACTCAAAAATCTATATATACTGTAGCCATGGAAGATGTATGTGTAAAACAAATGGCTAAGGGTGTTGTTTCATTCCCCTTGTTTTAGTCTGAAATGATGGTTCCTGCCAAAATACGCATCCTTAAGCTTTGAAATACTGACCCTGCTTGCTAGTCAATTGCTTTTTGACAGTTGAATGTGTAAATTCGAGGACAATTTATATACAGTGCTGATAAAAAGTCTGTGAGCCCCCTAGTTTGAATCATTATCTCATGTATTTTAGACTTAACGTATAATTAGATCTTCCTTAAAGTCTTAATTAAAAATGAAGATAATTGAATGAAATGTATAACACATTTTGTCCAATTCTTCCTTATGTACAATAACTGCTTCAGGCTGGTGACATTTGAGGGTTTCCTTGCATGAACGTCTTGCTTTAGGTCCTGCCATAATATTTCAGTAAGATGTATGCCTGGACTTTGATTTGACCAATCAAAAATGTGAAATTTCATCTTTTGCAGCCATTTTGTTGTACATCTGCTCACATGTTTTGGATCATTTCCTTGCTGCATGACCCAATTTTGGCTCAGCTTCAGCTGACAAATGGATTTTTCTTGGCACTGTATAATGTAATAATAAGAATAAACAGTATATCTTACTTTCCTGTCTGTACAGCTTTTCTAATAAGTGAAAAGTCTTAATAACATTTATTTTCAATTTGCATTTATGAGACAACCTCATGAATTCATTTAGCATTTACTGTAGTATTTTATTCTCATAACTGGTGGTTTGTGTGTCCAAGCTCCTATTGTAGACACTGCAGACAGGTTTAACAAACATGTAAAGATAAAACTGTACATCACGTACATCTTCCAAAATATAGACTTCTAATGGCTGATCTTACTTTTATTTAAAAAATTATGAATTATAAAAATGATAAAAATACAACCTAGTATGTTTTGGAGGGAATATAACATCATGCTTTCTGCCTTTCTTATTAATGTAATTCATTGCCAACTCACTCACAAGCATTGATAGATAATAACAGTTTTACACAGGAAAACATTTATTTATTTACTATTTAATTAAAAATGGTCTTTAAGACAGGTTTTGCATTTTGCATTGTTCAATATATAAGGCAAGACCTGCAGAGCAAGAAAAGTGCAGACTACAGCTGTTCTCTCCTTCAGTCTCTGTGCTTGAAATTCCTGGCGGATTATCAGGACCCTGCTGTGTGAATGGCAGATAAGGTTAAATGATAATTTGGGGTTTGGGGAAGACAAGGCTTGAAGCATAGCATTGTGTATCCGTGCATGAACTGCACTTCGCTAAATACTATCATGCCCTAATTAAATACTGTAAGTAAGCAAATATGAGGCCATGAAGTTAAAGCCAGGATTACTCATTCAAACAGACTTAACTTTTTGTTCCTCTTTGTTATTGGTTATTGGGGTCAGCTAATACAGCATTAGTTTGTTTTCTTTTCCTAATCCAGAGTAGAATTTCTTGTTTTTAAAATGTTCAGTTGTGGAAAGAAAAAAAGGATGCATCTGCAACAGAAAAATTAGCTCTAATCACTTCAGTTGTCAAAGTAGACATCTAAGTAACTTCTATGATTAAGGAATTTATATATATTTAGACTTTCAACATTAGCTTCCTGGATTCACTTAAGAGTTTTATTTTGAAGTAAAATATTGCATTGAGAGTTAATATTTTCAGAATGTAAATTTTTGAAGCAGTATTGTGACATTCTAAGGACAGGTCATGAGTACATCCCAGGTGCTTGCATAACATCAAGAGACTAAATTATCTTGTGTTCTTAGGGAAACGGAGGACACACTTTAGCTAATGTTTGAACATGTTCATATAATATCTGCATCACTGTGTGTGTGTCAGTGAAGTAGATTGTGAAAGGAAATCTGCAGCAGAAGTACATTATGCGAAAGGAACATAGACAAAAGTCCCCAGTTTTAACGCACAGGGATTGGAGTTCAGAAGTGATGGCCCTCCATTGCTAATGCATTGGGTTACATAATTTCCACCATATATCAGGAGAAGACAATTTTGATATTCCATTTCTTGCTTGTCTATTAGTGTTGAGTGTCATTTAGTTATCTGGCTTTGTTTGTGTCCATTTTAACTGTAAAGTTAGGAAACAGGACACAGTATTTATAATCTCATTCTCATGCAGTGTTTTGCATTCAGCACACATTGCTGCTGCAAATCTGCAGAAACTGTAGTGACGGATGATTGTGTACACCAATTTCTTTTTCTTCATATTTTGTTTTCTATTTAACTAAACCTGAATATCCTCAGAGAGACCATGTCCAAACTATGTATTGGCTGCACTGTTTATTAGGCTAAATGTTTTTGTTTTCTTACCATTGCAGGTCACTTTTCACCATGGAAGACCTCTAAACAGGTAAAATGCATTGTCTTCCAAACAAAGCTTACTTCTGCTCTGTATTTAATATTAACTATGGCAACAGCTGTGTGCTCATGTGTCAGCTTCTAACTGGCTTTGATTAGAATGTTAGACTTGCTTGCTATCTTTTTGTAGAAAACATATGCCTTTGCTGCACAGTTACAGTGCTCTCTCCTTGTTTTATGATGTATAACACATCAGTTCCTCTTACCCTGAAATAAATGGGTGAGAAAAACTGTCACTGTTCAGTGGACAGTCTGTGTACATTTATTTTCTGTCAACACAAGCAGAGCTTGAAGTACTGAGGGAGAACAATGTTTTCTTACCTTTCCAGAACTCATTTTGTCAAAACTCTGTTTTGAATTTTAGCGAGTGATTCCATACTGTATAAATCCATGTTTTCTACATACAGTAGCATATATCATTTAAAAAAATAAGATGTACTGAATAGTTCAACATCTCTGATTGTAAAAATGAACAAAGTGTTGTGAAAACACCTTCACTTCATTTTTTCATTTAAGCTGAAACCTCCAAAGTACTCTGCATTAATGTGCTATGACAGGACCCACAGGGAAGACATTGTAAGTGTTTATTTTGCTATTTAGTGCAGCAAGGAGCGAACAGATGCCCTTCCTAACAAAGTAATTATTGGGATGCACAATACATCAAAATATGGCTACTGGAATTCAATCAACTCAACTGGACTTTACTTTTATCACATTCCACCTGATTGAAACATTACTATATGTGAGGTCAGACAAACCGTTAGCTTTCAAAACTATAATTCTCTTGAACAGAATTCAAGAAGTGCTCTCTCTCAAGCTGCTAAAATGCCAATCTCTGCACACCGAAGAGACAGATGAATATAAAAATGGAGAGAGGCCCAACAGTTCAAAGTTTAAATGTGGTCGTGGGGGAGTGAACAAGTGGAACAGCACCCTCTTTTGAGAAGTGGGATGTCAAATCAGAAGAGGACACTCAACACTGCTCACTCTAGATGCGTTTTATCGCCAGCTGGGGGAAGACTGATTTGGTGTGAGGAAATCCGAAAGAAAAAATTCCCAGATGAAGCATCTTTCTTTTCAAACCATGTTTCACCTGATGCAATCTTCATGAATCATTCTTATAATATCAGGACAATATTCTGTGTGGGCACTCTGGAATGGTCCCTTCAATGTTCAGACACAATTATTGTATAGTAATTACTGGGTCACATTGACGACTGACAGAAGAGTCACTTCCTGAAATTATTGTAAGCCTGTGAGACACTTCATAAAACCTGGGAATCTGTTTTTTTAAACCTGCATTTTATATTACTTCAAATTAAATTTTACTCTAATAAAACATTTTGTGTTATCACGAGTTTAAAGAAGGAATTAGGAAAACAAATGGGACTGTACCTACAGTATTTTTTCCACCTCACTGTGGTATCCTGAAAAATGAGAAACTTCCTATTACAATAAACCAACCAGCAAGCTTTCATCTTAAGTAATACATTCATAGAAATCAGCATTTTATTTTTCCCTAAACATAAAAATATTCATCTGCTCTTTGCATGTTCAGCAATTTTTTGCTCTGAAGACTTTTCTTCATTAACACCTGATATTATTATTTTAAAAAGTCAGGTTAAAATTCAAACCATGCTGAAATTTCTTATCTGAAATGCAAAGAAAGCACAAAGAGTTCAACAGAGGTTTCATTGAAATAATTTTCTTAAGAACAACAAAATAGCCTTGAGGGGGGACTCAGGAGTATGTTATGTAAAATTAAAAAAGGTAAATAAATAAAATACAGCTTTCTGGTGCCTTAACATTTTGCTTGATCTGTCGTTATTATTCAGTTGATTGTTGATAAATAATTTCACCATTTGCACAGATCAATGTTTTAGAATATAAGATCTAAAAGAAAGCTAAATAGCTGCCTTGTTGGTTTGACAAATTTTAATACTGACCCCTACATACCCTTGATGCACTAATATTACTGTGATGAGCTAAAAGATCTCAGCAAAATGATTCTTGTTAAATTATATGTCTTTCTGCACTAAAATACTATTTTATGGTGGTAATATTTAAAATTGCATTGCAATGTTGTGCCCACTGAGATACAATTTACTGCCCAAAACATATTTCATTCAAATTGAATCTCTATTTGCTTGGTGATTTTGATTGTTTTTGTGTTTGGTTGATTTTTTTAGGAAGTGTTTTTAATGTATTATAGGAGGAGGTGAATTATATCCTCACAAAAAAAGCTTTCAAAATTATTGTTAGTTAATCAAATCTGTAGACAGAGGCACCCTAGAAGAGGAGAAATATCAAACCTTTAAAAAAACATGGCATTTATTCATAACAAAATGTTTTTCAGTCCTGAAGAATCATGTCTGGTTATCATTTTTGTGTTGAAGAACAGTTCCCTTATTAAATTAAAAGTAATATCTGTATCCAAATTCATGTTTTAATATCAATTACTAGGTTAGGGTTTCATCATATGGTACATCACTATCTATTTTCATTATACTGCCAATGAGCTGTTCAGTCAATAATATAAAGTTTACAGCAGAATTAATCTTCTCTCAGTACTTTCTAATATTTTAGTGTTATGGAAATAGTATTTTGTAGAGAACTGTTTGGAAACAAATCTCATTTACATGTATTACTTTCTTTTCCTTTTATTTTTTATATACTTTACAAATACTTGCAACCCATATAGTTTGCATTACATCTGACAGATCTCATACCTACAGTAATGCTATTTATAGTTTCATCTGGTGCTTTCCATGATACATTTTGTAGAAACATTCATGCATAAACCCTAATGGCTTTTAGAAAAATACATTCTGTGATTTGTGATTTTTCCATTATAAAACATACTGACCACTATAACATTATTTTCTTACATTTTAGAGCTTTAATGATTCAGCACTGTTGCTTGTAATGCATCACATGTTTAAAATGAACATTTCTAACATCTATGGGCTTCAGCATTGCACTAATCTTCATTATGTTGTCACTCACCATTTGTTTTTTTATTAATTTCTGTAGTAAATCTCTTGGTTACGAAAATGTAGACTAATTGAAACTGCTGATCAATTATACTGTAGCTGATTAAAACATATACAGTATATTTCGTATTACATCACTATCCTTCAGTTGGCAATTGATGTGTGCAAGTTGGAACTTAACAGGTTTGAAGCAGGAATGGAATTAATGGTGTGTAATCCTTTAGTGGTGATAATTGTGCTGAAACATGGGGTTACCATTTACACACAAAATCCCAGGAATTCCAGTCCTACAAAGAAAAAAATGCAATTAGCTTGTTTTTATGCCATTGGATAGCTCAGTAGATCAATAATGGAAAATGGACTGTAAGGACCTTTGACTCTGTATTAAGGCTGATTTGATTTAACCCCATTTGACAGTGACCGTAAGTCACACTGTGTTGAGGCCAGGAATGTGATGAATTAATTCCTCTGATTTCACTCCATGTCCTGCAGGGCAGGACTCTCCATCCTAAGAACCACATCTCAGCTGGCTCACTACGAATGTATAGTGGACAAATTCTCTGTGAAAAGAGAGTTGGATGATAAAGTGTTAAGATGAAGTCTCATGAACATCCCCAAAGCAAAATGATATGTAGAATCGTATTCCAAGGAACATTAGCAGCCTCACACTTCAGGTTTCCAAATCCAAAAGGTGTAACAAAAGGCATGCACCTCTTTGGTCACTTACGGAAAAGGAGTTTTTGGTCACCTACAGTAAAATAGCTCATATGAAACAAAATTAAATAAATAACAAATGAATGCCAATGTGTTTGCAGGTGTTGGAGCAGTGGGATGTCCAAGGCAGCCCCCAGACCAGCTTATCTGCTCCAGTAATTCCACAGAATGTTCCCTTCCCATCAAACTTCCACAGGGCTTCTTTCCCAGACTCAGCCGATGGCTTTGATCAAAGAAAACCTGACCCCTATGAACTCTATGAGAAGTCCAGAGCTATCTATGAGAGTAGGCGTAAGTAACAACCATGATTTAATATTAATGTTCCAGTAAGTAGGTTTTACTGTAGTTTACACACATACTCACCCCTCCCTGATGCCCTCCATTGTGTATGTGACAATGAGGATACAACATTTCATGTTGTCACATCTGATTTAACACAGAAGAGCCCTTCTGAGTGACTGTTTTGAAATGCTAAGGGCATTTTTCAGAGCTGCCTTTTCAAAAATCAAGACATTTTTGTTGTCAACTGTTGGCCCCCATCAGGAAGGTCACAGTCCTGGTAGCAAAAGAGACATGTAATGCATCTGTGTTTAAGGGAGGATGATGGCAAATATACAGTATCAGAGCCTTGACACAATAACTTCTGAATAATTGTGTCTCTGAAAACACATGCACATTGTTTTCCTCTTATTAGTACTCTTGTGTTTTTATGTGCTGATTATCTGTTTCTGCGCCGATAAGTATTGTAATTTTTCTCATGATGGAAGGGAGAAAAACTTTACTCTTTTCAGCATCACAATGTCTAATGTTTCATCAGAGTCATCAAAATATAGTGAAGCATATGATACAAAAAAAACAAATCTGCAAATGAGCAAACAAGGGTTCAGCACTTATTGTCTGAGTGGAAGTTAAAGTGTGTAGGAGTTTTCTAAGTCTTTATTTGGACCTACTGTAGTATCTAACTGACCTTCTGTACTAATGTCCTTTAAGAACATCTCATTAAATGTATGTGGTGTTTTAGGGTCACCATGACATCACATGAAGAGTGACATCACAAGCATCACTATTCCAAAAATATTATGATGGGTAACTTACTGTATACATCCAGTCATAAAGTAAACACATATAAAACTATTTTCAGGTGTTCCTAAAATATTGAAAGAATTACAATGAGTACCTGTTGAAAGTACAACAGCTATAGTAACACCACTGACAAATCCCAATTTATTCTTCAGTGGTGGTCTGGTGGGGTTGATCATGGAGCCAGGGTTTGTCCTCGTGGAGTGTTACACATCAAAAAGAATGATACTGAAAGAGATTTATGGCCATTCTTTCAGATAATACATGTCCTGTTCCCAATAATTCCTTCACAGACTTTGTCCTCTTTTCATCAGAGGTGTGATCCTTTTTTCATTCAATATGTGAGTGTTTTGAAAAAATACTACTGGAATCGGTCATTTTCTGATAAAGATATAACCTGTTTATTTGCCAAATATTTGCTAAAGGATTAAAAAAAAAAATCTGTACTAATTTATTTTCTCCTGTTTTCCACATCTCACCAAGAGACCATGGGCAAGCAATCATCTTACGTATATACAATAGACGTGGATACATTTTTATACCTTTTTAACATGAAAAAAACGCTATACAGTATGTGTGATTAAAACTGTTCTTTTTTAGTCTATGTGCTTTTCATAGTCTGTGTATTTAGTGGTGCTGTGGCGCTGACTTGAACTGGTTTGCAGTGGAAAACACAGATCTGGATAATATTAATACCATACCAATAGTCCATTATTTAACCAGATAAATAATTTATGAACAATTTCCCATTTATAAGGGCCAGGCCAAGACGCTTTCGCCACCTGTGAAAGAAAGATATGGCATACATATGAGTGTAACTTTGAAAAGATACAATGTTATAAGTGAAAACATCCTAAAATACTAAGGTGGATAATTTAAGCTCACGCCGCAGGTTGGTCCTGCCATTGGCAACGGCAAATTGAAGTGACTTGTGCCAGTAGTCAGTAGTAAAGTAAAACCAGTAGATAAATACATAAGACTACATCCTACATTTTAAATTGTAAAATGGTAAAGTACTTTTATACTGAGACGAGTTATTTTTTGCCATGTTCTCAGTCTGCTGTTGTAGTGGACAAATGATGAAAGTTCTTTATGAGACAAGATACAGTACAATGTACAATACATGTTACAGTACTAAATTAAATATAAAACAGAAAATGGCATGCAATGCCTCTTGCTGTGATGCTGCTGGAGTGCCGATGTTTAAAAGTCTATGATGTGTTAGATGAAATCACCGGGCTGATTATATTGTCATATTGGAAATGCAAATTGACTTGTGTTTCCTACTTATCATATTAAAGGTGTTTCCTAAATCTTGTGTACAGATTTAAAGTTAATATAAAGCAGTACATTACTCAGCGTACTACACAACAGAGATTATTTTTATACATAAATATGCTTCAGTAAAAAAGAGGAATATTCTCCTGTTAGAGTGGTCCATTAAAGAGGCCAAGGGTTAAGGTGGGAGTTGATTAAGAACATTTAGTGGTGCTTTAGATGAAAATAGAACATTTTAACAAAGAATTCACAACAGGCAAGGACTGCTAGTCTAACAGTCATTGTCTGCTGTAAATCAGTAATATCTACTGTAATAGCTGTACTACATTAAATGGAGCAGTATAATAGGTAGGGTAATAGTCATAAACCTTATTGCATAAAACTGCTTTATGGTTTTAAATTGAATATGTTCTTTTTTCATTACTGTCTTGTTGAAGGGTGAATGTGTTTTTCAGTCATATTATTGATCGGTGTAATTCAATACTTTGCTGTTCTATGTTTTGTGTTTCAGTTCTAGGCCTTTTGATGTCTTAGTAGCAGTTTTAGTAGAGATTTTCTTAGTTAATCTGTAAATGTGGAGTACTAATTTTGCTACTTTGTGATCAAACCAGTAATCCAAAACTGAGTAATCCAAAAATTCTGTATACAAGGAGAGACTGAAATTGCTCAGTTTATTTTTTAGCCATAATTTGTTACTTGACTGTACATTTCCATTGGGAAAAAGATGTCTATTTATGTAAGGTGACCTACTGTATATGAAACAATTATATGGATATCAGGAGCAGTATTTGTCAACTGATACTCAAGTCCAATTCCTGTACTAGGTTTGCTGTACTCTTTTGAATACAAACTGTATAGCATGCACCATGCTTTGTAACAGAACTGGCAATGTTATGTGTTAAATGTTCGTATGCATTATTTTCAGGGGCATCCATTAGATGTCAAAAGGAAATATGCGTACTCTAAAGTCTTCAGTTAAGATTTTGCTAATTAAAAAGGTTGCTTTTGAAATGGAAATTTAGAATTGGAAAACCTTTCACTACAGCATAAAAGCCTGAATGATGAATGCTGTGTAATGCCAAAAAACAGTTTCATTCGATTTGATCAAACCAAACAAATTTGATAAAAAAGAAACAACACAATAACTTTCAGTGGCATGTACATAAATAGGAAGGCTTAGTAGCTAAAATATTGCTGGCGTAGGCCTTAAGTTTAATAGTGTGGTTTTGATCTTAAGCTTTTCTGTGACTTTGAAACAAAGGAGCTTGATACAGATGTACTGTACAGTGGTTAAGAATGAGATAGTGATTTACAGTAGCTGGGTTCATATATCCAGTAAGCCAAGGCATCTAAAAGTATGTGAATAAGTTGAATTATCAACAATGTTTAAATAAGATATTGTATTTGTGTGCTATTTATGTATGCAAGGCAGACATGAAGAAATGATTTTTGGTTACCTATTCTATTCATGGGGAAAAAATAACCAATAGCACTTTGTCTTTTCAAATGATATGTAATTTCGCTGTTGATATATACAGTACAGGATGACAAAAAATTGTAATGTAAATTTAACATACATGATGGTGGAAGTTTGTCATAATATTTTGCTGGTGGGTCATAATGCAACCATTCCCAATGTTCTCAGTTTATAACTAGAGTCCTCTATTATGATATTTGGCTCAATCTATGACATTTTAGTTTACTTTATATAATTTTCCACAAGTTGTCAGATGCAGCAGTTTGTATGTCTCTTTAGGTATTTTAGATCTAGCCCTGTGTACTGTAGGTCTATCTCTTCTAAAAATATATTTTAAACATAAATCTCAGATTCTGTATTAATTCTTCTATACTACAGGTTCATATTAATATGTAATACATACTATAACTTTTAGTACTGCACCTGAAAGAGAAATATATTATTCTTAAGAAAATGATAGAATTTAAACAGAGTGCAGACAACAATGTTGGTTAGCACTTTATGAAATGCAAGGATTTATAGACCTGTTCAACAAAATCAAAAAAGCGCCTTTGTTCCTTCTTTAGGAACTTGCTACCTGTCGTCTTTGGAAATATACATTAGAAAAAATCTCTTTAAGGGGGCACAATTAGAAACTGGAATTGGGAATGATAAAGAATTATAAACTATCAACAAATTAATGTAATAAGTAGTTGCAATTCTAAGAAGACACATTTACAGTATGTGTGTGCTTTCAATATCTAGACTATTGTATATTTTTCAGCTATTAAATCTGTTATTTGAAATGACTCAAAGAACACATGTACAATCACATATTAATAAGCAAGTGCTTCCCCCCAAAAAAGTAAAGAACAAAAGCAATAGTGAACATACAGTATATACAGTAATTGTGACAACATGGGGTCACTGAATGTCATGCGAGAATGCCCCAGAGGCCTCATGTACCCCTGTTATACAGATGCCTGACAGGAAGGTGTTTCTTTTGTTTCTTTTTGATGGTGGTTATTCCTTATGTGACTTTGGATATATTATTGCCATCGCCAGTCATTGCCGTGGTGTACCCCAGCCTGAATTGTATTTACTTAATCTTTTGTTTATGTGTTGGAATGTAAGTACTGTACATTGTATATCAGAACACGAGGAAATACCACATGTACATATGATCATTTTTCTTATATTTTAATGTTTTATTTTTTTAATATATTTTCCATGTCATCAACGATCAGGCTAAATGTGGAAGTCGTTTATCCTCTGCTATTTATAATGTTAGAAAGAATAAGCCAAGATTAAGACTTGTCAGGAATGATCAAAACGCAGTTTGGTGGTTTTATAAATCATTATTTAAAAGCTCAGTTTCTATAGTGATGTGATATTTCAAAACAGTAGATATTTAAGAAAAAGTTCAAAGCAATTTTTATTTCAAAGGCATAAGTGAACAAGATTGAAAGACAGACTGTATATGGGTTCTGTGGTAACAAATGTGGTTACAAATAGGCAAAAGGATAATTTTTTTAAAAGTAAAACAAATTACAACTCTTAATCATAATATTTTCTGTTAGTTTGTATAGAATTTTAATACATATCTCCTTCAGTTTTTTTGTTTTTAAGAAATTATGTTTTATACAGTATATAATATTTTGTAAGGAAACACTTAACAATCTTGCCCCAAACTAAATTAGTCCATGCAGTAGCTTCAGTCTGACATGTAAAGAAATTATTCATGGAAACCTTAAAAGTGTTTATTTTATAGTTCGGTGAGTAAAAGAAATAAAAACCCCTAAAATGAAAATCAGAAGGAACAGCTTAAAAACATCCACTTGCATTTTTTTGTAAATACTAATTGCTATTTATTTGTCTGGCAATTCACATCTCAACAATATTTATTACATTAATATCATTATTATTTAGATTTTTTTTATTATACTGTCAATGCATAGTGTTTGTACATTGAATTCCTGGCTGTTCGATTGAACAGTTGGCATGTGTAATTTACATAAACAAAGCTATTCCTAAGACATTGCACTCTACCAAAATGGTGATACAGACCTACAGTATTTCTGGCCATGTGAGCTTATAAAATGAATTAGCAAGCTGTTCAAAGCACTTGTATTTCCAGATTTAGATTTTCCATACTGAGCTAGAGCACTATGTACCCATAGAGCATATTTTAATTATAACCAAAGCAAAGGATGGCCAGAAATGCTTTTGAGTTATCATTATTGATTTGTGTACATTCTTGAAAATGTTATGTTGATCAAATGTGAATTTTATGCGAAATAGAACACAATAGAAACTGAAGAAAAAAAAAACAAAAGAGCAGTGCATCTTTATTACTGATCTTCTGCTCGTAAAAACATGAAACAATTTTAAATTGATCCATGTTATTGCAAGCTTTTATCCTTTTATTATTGTTACTGTATTTGTAGCAATCCAAATTTAGAAAAACCCATATGGGAAATTTGCAGATATGAATTCAGTCGTAAATAATGTAATATATCATGAACATAGATATTTACTAGCATGATTCTTTATCATTTTTCTCAAACGGGATCAGTTAAATCATTATTAGAAGGCGACACTTCATTTTCAACTCAACACGAAGGTTGGGGTCTTCTAAAAAAGAGCACTCGTGTAAGATTAATTTAAATCTTCAGCTGTAGAGAGTTAAACTTTTGATCCTTCAGTGTACCGTATATGGCCATGTCTCAATGTATTTCTATTATTGCATAACTACAGTATAAAGACTGAATATGGAGTTACTTAATCTCTAAAAATTAAGTGGTATTTAATTATGGTATTATGGTATTTTGATTGTATTTTCCTTCGTAAATCATAGCTGTCTATAACATAGAATTCTGGCCCACTGCTGTATACATGTAATTTTTTATGGATGGTTCCTCAATTTCTCTATTCAGAGCAAGGCCCTCCAAGGACAGCGTTTCGAATGGATTCTACTGGCAAGTAACCCTAAATGCCATTTTGTTGTTTCCTTTGTAGAGCTGTTTTGTAGAACTTCAGTTAGTCTGTGTTGTTCATCTGCTAATAATATACATGCATTTTGTTTTGTGTTGCTCCATTTTTTCCATATTGCATAGTAATGGCCTTTGTGAATTACAGTCTGTGAATTTTAGTTATTAGTATTTTCTGTGAACCTGAATGTTACTGTCACAATAAAAAATTAAGTTAGTGGTTTAAACTCTGCTCTACTAGGTATCACGGATAGTAAAGAAAATCATGGGCAAATCTAAACATACTGCTTATACAGTAGTTTCCTTATTTTTTGATAGTTTGTGCTGTATATGAGGAACTAACCAGGAACATAGGAGCAGGAGTCCATTATTGTTGTGATGTAAAATGAGTCTTCACTATTCAAATGAAAATTAAAACAAAATAATTTGGCATTTCTCTTGCTCCAGTTAATTGACATATCAGTAGAGTCAGTGTTTTCTCATTTGTGTCATGCTTTTTCAGGCCTAAGTTAACCTAGTCAAAGTGTATTTCTAGTTGCGACATTACATGGGATGAAGAATGCAACTGGCCTTCAATAATATAGTCCTACATATGAATTGATTTAACTGTACAATTGGGGATTTAAATAGAGAAATTTTAATTGACACGTTTAGTGCTTCATCCTGCATACACGATTTGTGCTTAAAACGTTTTTGTGTCTTTGTGAGGTGTGACTGTTGTCAGTCCCAGAAGAAAACAACTACTTGGGATACTTACAGTAGCTTTAACTCACACATCTATTTGCAAAATTGCTTCCAACACATTTTCCACTTTCAAGCTAAATGTGACTAAATTCAATTGAAGCATGACATGTAGCCGTGAGACAGCTCACCGTGCGACAATTCACTGCGCAACAGTTTGCTACATTGACAATTAACTGTTCCAAAATTTCACTGGCTATGCCTACTTTTTAGGCTCAAGTTAAACAACACCATCACAAAACAAGACAAAAAGCAAAGAAACATACAGTACAATGCGTTTTGCCAGGAAACATATTTATATTAAAAAAAAATAGAAGTTAAGCACTCACTGCTTTGAAAACGTTACTCTGGAACAAATTTCCCTCACAGCTTCTTTTAGTTGCAAAAATATGTTTCTACTACTATAATCTGTCATGTCAACCTTTTGTCTCTGCTGCAGTCAATCACTGCAGTAAGATGCTCTGCGGCTAATATTGTGATACGTAATTCAATATTCATTTAAGTCACTACAGTATATCCAGGTATACAATGGAAGCAGTTAGCAGTGCACAAGAAAGTCAAACAGTTTTTTTCCTTTCTTAATCTGCGATAATTACACAGTTTTCACATTACTAAACAGAAAATTAAGTTGTAAATTATGTTTGACATTGTTTAAGAGACCCAATCACTCATAGGAAGCATCGAGCATTGACACCTTACATTTTAAACTCAGGCCTATAATATTTTTGGCACTCATTTTTTTTCAGATTGTTTTCCATACTTACATTTTTCTGCATATAAATTTATTTTAAGTCTTAATGCAGATAACTAATCACTTGGTTCTTGGTTTGATTTGGATTTAATCATCAAAAGCTCTGTGTTTCATCTGTGGGAATAGATTGGTGAATCTCTTAAGAGCTGCCTCAGCAGTGGCTCTCGTGTGCTGCCATGTGCAGTGAATTAAACATATTTAGTGTAGGATAGTTCAATTTTTGTTTTAAAATATTTTAGGCTGCTTAATACTTTAAATAAAAGTATGCCTTTAAATTAAATTGGCTCATGGAGCTTGTACCCTTTGGATAAAACAAGTGTAATAAATAATATAATGAAAACATTTTAGAAATGATTATATGATTGACTTTCATACTTTGCATTAATATTGTTTTTGAATGTGTCCATACTTATATTAAAAATCGTCCTAACTGAATACTTTTTGAGCATAAAAACTTTGTGGTATATTAACAAAAATACAGTTTTAATTAGGTGGGTCTGTGACAACTGATTATTTACATATAGTACAGTATATTTCTACTATATATTTTTTTTCTTGAAATTGATATGGCACTTCACAGCAGTTTTGCATGGTCCACTGTGTGTATGAAATCTGTATCTGCATGTATGGATGTCAGGTCTTCCTCCTGCCAATGGTCTTTCTTATGTTCTCACCTAATGCTAGGACTTGAGTACCGAGAGCTGGATGTTCATCTCCGGAGACAAAAGTCTGGATTTGGCTTCAGGATACTGGGTGGAGATGAGCCAGGACAGCCAGTAAGTAAATATTCCCCTTAAAAGAGTCATTTAGACTTACACCTTGTTAATGTATAAAAACAGAAACAAATAAGGTGGGAAGTCCATTGTATTATTGTCTGCAGTGCTTTCCATTAAGAAGGTTTTCGTCTGTACATGCCATTGCCCAAAATACCACAATCGATATAACACTAAATGAATAGTCATTAGAGTATAATTTCTATTTTTCACATTTTGTTCCTGAAAAAATGCCATGCTTTATCTTGATTTTAGTTTACATGCAATTAAGCCACTAAAAGATCCACCATGAGCCACTTTTGCATCCTTTATTTGCTTTAGAATTCTAGGTACTGCCTATCCATATGTCTCTGTGTGACCCCGCTCATAACTCTTTTTTCTACCAGTTGTTCATTATAGCCAGCATGCCATCAGTCTGAAATCCATGTCAACACTTGTTACTCCACAAGGGAGAGTATTGTTTACTGCTGACAGGCTTACATTGGTTAACATTACAGATTCTCATTGGCGCAATAATTGAGAAAAGTTCAGCTGACAGAGATGGAAGACTACGTCCTGGAGATGAGTTAGTGTTTGTTGATGGAATCCCTGTGGCTGGAAAAACTCACAGATATGTCATCGACCTTATGCATGGTGCTGCGCGAAATGGACAGGTCAATCTCACTGTGAAAAGAAAAGTGCAAGGCACGGGTAAGTGAATAAAAGACTCTCCAGTTTGTGAACTACAAAGCCAAATTGATCTGCAATCAAATGGTCTGTTCTGTTTAATCGCACCACCCTGGGTTACAAGATTCGACAAAGCAAATATGTCTTTATGTAAAAATTTGTGTATGTTCTTACCATGTTCGTGTAAGTTACTTAGCTTCTGTAAAAACTGGCCCTTGTGCGAGTGTGTGCCTGTTTGTCTCTGTGATGGACTGGCATCCCTTCCAGTGTGTACCCTGCCTGTTGCTTGCTGGGTCAGGCTCTCTCTCCTCCTTGACCCTGTACTGGATAAAGTAATTAAAAATGGATGGATTGATTTCACAAGAGTTTAAGTCACATGCATGAAGAGCAAACTGTGTGGCATAGTCCTTCTAAAGATCAATAGCACAGAGAAAACTTAATGGTTTCCACAAACAAATACCAGGACTCTGTCTTACACCTCAGTTTTTTTCAGACTTTGCATATTACAGTATCTCATTCTTTATCTCATTATCTATTATCTCTTACTTATTTACTTATGAACACTATTATCTCATCTCTATCTTCTTCACTTTAAGTAATCATATTGAAATCCTAGCATGGGAAGCACCTACGTAAGTAATAATATTAATTAATAATTGCTCACACTTATATAGCGCTTTTCTGGACACTCCACTCAAAGCACTTTACAGGTAGTGGGGACTCCCCTCCACCACCACCAATGACGGCAGCCATAGTGCGCCAGATCACTCACCACACATCAGCTATCAGTGGGGAGGAGAGCAGAGTAATGAAGCCAATTCGTAGATGGGGATTATTAGGAGGCCATGATTGGTAAGGGCCAATGGGAAATGTGGCCAAGTGATTTTATTATTGTTATTTACTCTTTGTTTTATTTTGTGTTTAATTACCAGTCAGTGTAGGGTAAATCTACACTACAATGAAATGCACTGTATACATTTGTTAAAAGGTATTTAGTTTATTTATTGTATTGTGTATTTCTAAATTTATGCTGCTTTATTTTAATGATGGGATAAAACCCCTTTTTTCATTAATCTCTTCCATTTTATTCTTGTTCTCCCCCTAAATAAACAGGGGACGTTTCCTTCTTTTTGTCTCATGGACTGCTAGCTGCTGCTACATTTTTCTCTTGCCCTGTACCCCCATCCATGCTAAGTGTTATTTAAAGGACGGTAAACTTTGGTGAGCCTCCAGTACTGCTCTGCAATTCCTCCTAATGCCAGCATCACACTATACAAATTTTCCTATGATTTTCAGTCGTAGCCTTCATTTACATAATCGTAAGAAAATCACAGTTGTAGAAAGGCGCAGCGCATGCCCTTTACCGCCAGTGGTGTAGTGTGACACCCCCAGCGACTCAGTCATAGCATTCTTAACAGCCCCTACAACTCCGCAACTCTTATGACAAAATCAAACTGGTTTGATTTTCTCGTAGCAAGTCGCAAATCATAGGGTTGGGCTCTTGTGTCTGCGACAGTCAACAGCCAATGAGCGGTCAACCGGAAGTATAATGCATACAAATGCCCACAAACAGTTAAGAACAATGGTGGCTGCAAGGAAAGAAGGAAAGCGAGTGTTTTGGACTGTGCAAATGGAGGAGAGGCTCGTCGACCTTTGGAGATGTCTGTTCAAAGTTTCATGTTTGTTGTTTCGTGTTTGTTGTTTGTGTACTTTCATGCAGTGCTCCTCTCCTTATTCCGGTGTGCTCCATGTTGATTGGCTGACAAAATGAGGCGACCTTTCACGGCGCAATATGAGTTTTGGAACTGTGATGAAAAGTCATAAGGGAATCGTGTAGTTAGTCACCCCCTGCAATTCCTTGTCGTATAATTTAACCCCCTTTAGGACAGAAAAGGCAGCAAGATTCTCCAACTGCAGTCGTTAAATTTGACGTGCTCTCCAATTAGAAGCCGTGTTGAGTCATGTACTGTGACGCCGGCATAACTCACTTGCTGACACATTTCTAGGGAAAATAAAGGGAGACTGCTATAGTACCATGAATGGTAATTTTCTATGCTTGTTCATGCAACTGCTGAGAAAAAGTCTTGCGGAATAGAACCCTTACGTAACCCAGGAAGTACAGTATGTGTACATCATTGTGTACCATGCATTGCCATCCAGAATCCAGAATCCAGTGCTGCTGAATTCTGTAAAACACTCTAGATAATATAAAACATATGGGAAATGTGTTTCTTCTCTCATCCATCTTGAAAGTCTTGTATTATCTGGGGAAATGATTTTAGTTTGTGTGTTTTATATAAAGAACTGGGACTGATTAAAAAAATAATTATATTCAATGTATTTTTAGCCTGAAATAACTCTAAAACTGGTAATCTAGGAAGTCTAGAAAATGAAATGGTTGCATTTAACTCATGGGATTGCTGTGATTTTCATGCTATTTTGTAATAGGTGCTTTGTTGTTGAGAAAATGGAACTCATTAGTTGTGTTAATAACACAAGAAATCCTTAACTACAGTACACTTCTGTGTCTTGAAATACTGGTGGTGTTCTAAGAGGTTTTTGTCTTTCACTGAATTAATTGTTGGAAAACGTAGAGAAAATGGGTTTGATAATTGGCCTACAATCCTTTGAGACACCTGAACAAGCTTATCTGTATCATTAACAGAGTGATTGCTATGGTCAGTTCTTTTACTCAGATTACTGTTAAGTGTCCTATCTTTATACTGCAAAATACTTTGCTTCAGACGTCAATGGAAAACCACAATTTTCTTGGGAGTTAGTTGGTGTACCAGAAGACAGAACTGCTCCTCTCTGAATCAAAATGACACGAGAGTGTGCAAACTTTTGTTCATGATAGTAATAATAATTGCTTTCGCTTACATAGCGCTTTTCTGGACACTCCCCTCAGAGCGCTTTACAGGTAATGGGGACTCCCATCCACCACCACCAATGTGCAGCCCCACCTGGATGATGCGACGGCAGCCATAGTGCACCAGAACACTCACCAAACATCAGCTTTCAGTGGGGAAGAGAACACAGTAATGAAGGCAAAGTACAGGAAAACAGACACTGAATTACCATAACATGAAATAAAATGTATTTGTTTCTGCAACAAAAATTCTGTTTGGATTGAGTTTTAAATGGGTTTGCCTTGCCAAGTGAAATGACACAGTAAACATGGAGTCCCAGGAGTATATAATCTGTAAACAAGATAAGATCAAGGTTTTTCCAAACATGCATTAATAAATCCAAACCCATGACAGGTTGTTTCTTTCTGTTCCTTTTTGTTTTTGATCAGATATTGAAGTGCTGTCTTTTTTTATTTGTGGTGAATACACAACCTCTCTACTTTTAGATCATGTTATTCTTGCATTTGAAGTTACATGCAACCTTGCCTTGAATTTCTGCGAATTGGAAACTTGATGTTCCCTGTATTATGTTGTTAAAGCTGAGCTGTACATAGTATGTATCTTCTCTACAGATGGGAAAGTGATTTCCATTCCTTACATACTGTATGAGCACTTTTTATTGATAAGAAGTAGCACACTCATTTAGAACATTTTTAAAAGCTCAGCTATTACTAAATGATTATTGACTGATTAGTTTTAGTGTGGATATTGTCTTGCACATCAGCTGGACTTTGTAAAATTTACAGTTCTAAATTAAGAGTTTTTATGATAGTACAATATCCATTGCTGATGGAAATAACCTAAACCATGAGTGCTAAACATGTTACCTAATAACTGTGAGAGACTGCTCACACTCAAAACCAGCACAGATTGTATTTCTGATCACATTTTAACTGACTGGTATCACTGAGATGATACCTGTAAAATGTACGATAGTTGTATTGTGGGAAACCATATTAAAGAAAAACAACTGTCACTGAAACTGTACTCACTTAAAAGGTGCATTTGCAGTATTGTGGAACAGCTGTATTAATGTATAAAATAATAAAATATTAAAATGACATTTCTACAGTATATTCCACTGGGAATTGCAGCGTGTAGTGCCTGGACATTGGGGAAAAACTAAATTGTGGTCATCAGTTAAAATCAAGTTGACAATGTGTAACCCAGAGAGAATAAATATAAAATTAACATAAATTGCACATTAAATCATTCACAATGAAAGAGGTTGGGTTGACAGATCATTCGCAATGCAGATTGGTCCACAAAGAAAATCACTTGCTCTTTGAATTATATTTTGGCTCTTTTTTGATTGATATTTAGAGGTATATTCATGTCATTGTTTTGTAACATTAGTGATTTTGTGTATGATTGTGTGGACATCTAACATCCATAATCATATTGTAAATTGCTTTGCAAGAATAAATTCTTCTTACAGTTGTTATTATTACAAAGGAATCAATTTTCACATATAAGGAATCAAACATTTCAGTCACATTTATTTTAGATTAATCAGTTTTCCTATTTTTCTTTGCAGTGATGACAGTTATTCATTGTGTAATGAGCACATGGTATATACTTTAAGTAATTATTCAGACCTAATACTTTATTTTAGATTAGCCCCTGGCTTGTGACAGGCAGTCAGGCAATTTTCTTTCTTCATCTGTTCCAGTTATCAGAATTTTTCTCCTGTAAAGACATGACAGGAGGGAAATGGATTCTTCTTTTGTCTCTAGCTATAAAGTTTGCTTTGGATTGAAATTGAAAACCACAAATGAGTTGTATCATGCCATCACTGGATCACATCACTGAAAGATTTCTGACCTTCTACAGTATATACACATCAAACTTAAATGATTAATTTTCTTAATCACTAGCTTCCTGAAATAATCCAAACCTTCATAACATTTACTTTTGGGGCATTGCTTGCAAGTCTATTAGCATACTTGAAAGTATTTATTTGAAAGCCATCATTTATTTGGTTCTTAGCTCTATGCGGTTTATTCTGTTAAGATCACCTGTTCACATTTATTGGTGTATGATTGATAGGGATGTGATTACTGTTGTATTTGAACCTGTGATGCAGCTCCCCCTGCTGTAAGTAAGGGTGGTGCTTAATGTAAAAAAAAAAGACTTTTTGGTGTCATATTCTTATTTTATATTGTAACAAAAATAGCAGGTCAGGAAATAACCAGAGTGTTATGCAAGAAGTACAGTATATTTTTTATTCTCCACAACAGATTTGATTAAAACAAATAATTAAGGCTTAAACTTGACAGGACAAACAGGTATATCTTGACAATAATTAACACAACTACACAATATTTACATTCTGACACAGCAACTTCACTAAAACAACTATTTGCGATCAGAGCTTAATTCCTAACTGATTTATGTAATCCAGACTTCTCCTATAATCCAAATACTCAATAACAAAAATTAAAATAGGGCAAAGAGAGAAAACATGTGACGTAAAAACAATGTATATTAATCAGGACTTAATCTCTGTTCCTAAAAACACAAATTTACACAAATTAAAGAGAATGTTTTTACCCTAAGGATTTCACAATATGGAATAATTACTTATAATAACACTGCAAGCTCTCTTATAATAATGCTCAAATAGTCTAGTCAGAAAATGGTTCCTGGACTGGTTAGAGCCCATTCAGCTTCCTTCTTTCATTTTCTTACTCTCCTTTCTCTATCGTAATGTAATTTGTGCTGTGGTCAATTCCTTTGGAGGCTGACTAAAAACCTCCCTAGGAATGCCTAGTCACTGTTGACTTTATTTTTTAATAGTGTTGTCCTCAAGATTTAGTGATGTTAATTAACCTGAGTAAATCATTTAAAATACCCTTTGCCTTACCCATGGCCTTCTTGCCTCTTAGCCCATTGAAAGCTAGACAATAGCTCTGGCCTTTGTCCAAAGACTTCTGAGTAGTGTAATCTAATTCAGAAATGAAAACTTTGCTACATTGCTCCACACACCCCCAATCGGAACTAAATGCATTTTTTTTTCATTTTACCAATAGTTTTATTTTTACATGCATGTCCATTGGTTTATGTGTATGCAGTACTCTTGAAGATTTTTTATTGTGTTATACTGTATAGTCCTGACTAGAGTTTGTTATTTCTAGTTTGTCCTTTCTAGAGTTTGTAGATAAACTATCCAGTTAAGAAGGAAAAAAAGAGCATATATCATATCATATGTCACATGGCTTTTGGTCAACGTTAATAGTGGCTCTGCAGTGAAACACACCATTTAATGTTTTTCAGGTGAGCCATGTCCAGAGAATGGCAGGAGCCCTGGGTCTGTCTCCACACAGCACAGCTCTCCCAGAAGTGACTTCACTGCAACCACCTTTCCCAACAATACACATCAGCCCAATGCTGGCACTTCATCTCCAGAGGGCTTCGTATCCCACAGTCTACAAACCAATGATGTTGTTATTCATCGCAAAGAGAATGAGGGCTTTGGCTTTGTCATCATAAGTTCATTGAATCGACCTGAGTCTGGTTCTACCATCAGTAAGTCAGAGTGTTTTTGTACATATGCTAGTATTATGTGGCTACTTAATTCTGTATTGATTTCCCCATAAAGTGTTTAGTTTGTTGCATATAGCATTTTGTGACGCCTGTCACACACCAGAGATATACTGTATGAAGAGCTTCTACTGTACGTAGGGGTAGGTGTGAAGATGTTGAAGGTTAGTGCTAGACCCCCGCTAGACCCTAAACTTGCTTACTTCAGCTCCCAAGTGCAGTTTCTGAGACCTAAACCAAACCACCCACTCATTGGTCTATAAAGAGGTCTGTTTCCGGCTACGTAATTATAATATCTTCCTTAATAATATGAAACAACCCATAGAAGTTGTATAATAACAGTACAGATGATAATAGTATTTTGCTAGTACCCTTTTTCTCTAATTGTGAGTTATGTATTTCTGACATGTTCACAAGTTATCTAAAGTCTTAGTTTCCTTTTCACCTTGAACAAAGTAGGACATTCTCTGCTTTTTGTTCCATTATGTGCCAAGCACCTTTCAAAAATTGGCTGAAGCCCAAGAGTTAAAATGCTATGAGGAAGTGTCTGTGTGCATGTTCTGTTCCCAAGTGCCATTGCCTGCCCTCATTTTCATGTAGGTGACTGAGAAGTGTGATAAACTCCAATTAGCTACGATAAGGTTTTCAAGACCATGCAGGTAATTGTGTTGCAGCAAAGACCTGGGTCTTAATAAGTTAGGCATACTAATTGGTGCTGTCTGACCCAAGCCAGGAGAGTATACAGTGTAACCAACAATGCCTGTAAGAGCTCTCGGAAACAGGTCTTCTGTGTAAAACTTAGGTTTGTAGTTGATAGATGGACCTGTTGATTATCTGCTTTATCAAAGGGCATGAGCAGGAAGATATTAGGAAATATCTTTCCTTCAAGCTGGCCAAGCAGCTTCTAGCAGCAATGTCTTCTGGTAACTCTTTTAAAAGCTTTGATTACAAATATATTCGAACAAGTTCAAGTAAGATACAGCAAAATACAACTGATCCTGCAGTAATTTTAAATTTATTGCCCTATTATCTATGGAATATTTTTGTCCTTTTTCTAAATAAGCAGCTGCAAGCTGGTGAATATTTCAGTCCTCATTTTGTCATTTCCCCTTAAAGTATTTTATCTTAAGCTGAACAGGAAAAAAAAATATGTGAACTACTGAGAGAACACACTACATCTTAAACAGAGGAAGAGTGAAAACTGGGAAAACAGACACCTGAGACAGAATGATTATATTAAAGAAGATAGCTACATTTCAGTGTATTTTTTGTCTGAATATTCACAATCTGTTGAAAATGCTTCTGTTGCTCTGAGTAAACATTTTGCATCAGAGATCGTTACTTTTTCTATTTTTTTCACTGAATCATTCATACCCGAGTCAGAAAGCTTTTCATGAACAGCAGCAAAAGAATAGCTAGTTCTTCAGGTCTGTCAGTGTGCTCTCAAGTGCTTGTGTCCTCCCAAGCTGTGCCCCACAAAATTGGAAGGATAATTGAAGGCAGCCCAGCAGACCGCTGCGGGAAGCTGAAAGTGGGAGACCGGATCCTGGCGGTGAACAGCCAGTCCATCATTAACATGCCTCATGCCGACATTGTGAAATTGATTAAGGATGCTGGCCTGAGTGTGACTCTGCGTATCATCCCTCAGGAAGGTGAGTCATCTATTGGATTATTTTTTTTTTTCAATTTTCATGTGAGAGCACAGACTTGGTGTTTCGGTTTACAGTAGGTATTCTTGTACCTTATATCGTAATGTATTGAAATACATGGAGTGTTATGGAAGTCTTGAGGATTGTTATTATTAATTTAATCACAACTGTTATGCCCACACTATCACTGAAAGTAATAGTTGCTATCATGTTGCAAAAAATGTGTTGTTTACCTTTTTATAGATATTGAGTGAAACTTAAAGTTGTGGGAAAAAATAATGTAAATACTGTAGGTCAACACTAAATAAAAATGTGGCATTTATAATGTTGAATATTTCATTAAGTTGGTCATGTTATTTTTTAACATTTTTTTAACTCCAGTCGAGTCTGTTTTGCAGTACAAATGATAGTATCTAATTTTCAGTGCCTTCCATAAAAGGTTTGGATTTTATTTGTAAAGGAAAATAAAGAAAAAGATTTAAAAAAAGGTTTTGCACTGAGCCCACTTAAAAATATACATGAAATATAATTATTTGAATGATCCCCTTGCTTTATTTACATATTCAATACATTAATTTCCATAGCCGACCAGAGCCGAGTATCATAATCTAATGTTGTAAAAATGTATGTGACCTAGATAAGTAATTACTGCTCTAGTTGGATGGATTTTGACTGCTCAGTAGGATAATTTTCACTTCTGCTAAGAAGGGTATGGTGATATGCTTGAGAATCAACAATCAGAAAAATCTTGATTTTAATCTTATTTTGTTTTCAAAATTATCCAATAATTATACAATGAAGATTATTATAGGGATGCCTTTAAAGAATTTAGAAATCAATTAATACTGATAAGATTGTAATAGTGTTTTATCATAAGGGAGGTATTTGTCAGAAATTAAAGTCAAAGTAATCATTATTTGTATACATCTATTTTGTGGGTTCAAAGAAAATTTTGTTTGGGGAAATCTGCTGTAGTCTCACTTGTTATTATCATTGTAATCAGATTAATTCATTCTATAATACTTGTAATATTATGATGGCACAGTGGTGTGCATTGCTGCCTCACAGAGCAGGGGCCCTGGGTTCAATTCCATACCTAAAGTGCTATCTGTGTGGAGTTTGTATGTTCTCCCTATGTTCACATGGCTTTCCTCCAGGTGCTCTGGTGTCCTCCTATAGTCAAAGAACCATGGAAGGTTAACTGGC